CAGAAGAAAGAAGAAAGAAAGAGACTAGACGCTACTTTTTTTTTTATCGTTTACGGGCTATCAGATTCGGGTCTGTTTTTTTTTTTTTTTTTTTTTTTTTTCAGTGGTGCTCACTCACCTACTCCGCACGATCGAGGGAGAGGTGGTAAGGAGAGGGAGCTAGAGTATAGAAGAGGAACTGAGTAAGAAAAAAAGAGACAAGTCAGGATTGTAACAAATAAGCATATTTTTAGAATTGATTTTTATATCCCAGAGGAATAAGAAAAGCCGTTAGGGGAAAACGAAAAAAAAAAAATTGTCCGGCGTCAGGTTAGGCTGTCAGTCATAAATATAAGTCACTCACGTCTCAGCACCGGAGAATCGCCATCGACAAGTCAATGTAAGCAGGGATTTACCCAATGCGGATTTGGGCCATTAAGAAGGAGGTAAAGAGGATTAACAATGAGGAAATAAAGTAGCAAATAGTCGGGCTCAGGAATTCAACTGATCTGATCCTCCTCTCGGATACGGAGGGACAGCCGTTCTGGGAGTATGTATGGCTGACATGTGCCGTGCCCAAACAGTAGCAATAATGTACTTTTTCCGTTCGCTTTAGTAAATCATTGGCAATCACTGGTGGCTTCCGAGCAGGGATTGGAATGTTATATTAAGCGTTATCCAGATCTAATAGTATGGTGGTGGCTATGAAAGAAATAAAAGAGATTCTCCGATAACATAACAGTCGCTTCCCACGGTTCTTGTGGAACAAGCTACTCTGTTGGGAAATGCTGTACCATGGCTGAAGAATCAGATTGCTGCTAATGCTAATATGCCGGTATGCCTAATATCATGCAATCATGTACGATGGAGAAAAGGGAAGGTGGTCATTATAGCGCTGTGGCCCTTAATTAGATCTAATCAATCTATCGTCATGTCACTGTATTTCTAGATCCAATCAATCAAACCACTCAGATCTAAATACACTAGTCCAGAAATGTAGCCAAGAAAATTACATGAAGATTTTTATCGAGATCAGATCATTTGGCCGGAGACACCTGCGGTACTGCCCACCAGTCATGCCATCGGGCTTTCGATCCAATTCCGGGAATCTCAACGCGAAGGCCAATTGGAGTTGAGGGTGAATCTGACGAATCTTTACGCCCAGCCAAAGCCTTCTTCACACTTTCAATGGCAATACTCGCCCCGATACACGCCTTCATGGTATCTTTGATGTCCCGTTTCCAGTCCTCCTCAATGGCCGGAGCCTTGTTGACCTTTCCGTCAGAGTCGGGGAGGAAAGGCCCGTGAGCGAGGGTGGCCTCCCAGGCTTTTCGCGCTTCCGAGATGGCGCGCGTCGCACGGTCCAGGACGATCGTGTCACTGTCCCCCTCCAAGACGGCTTCCCGACGGAATTCCTCGTACGGAACCAGCTCCGGCAGTGAGACCGGCAGAAAAGGCTTCATGCGGAGTTGGTACCGTAATCTTTCGCTCGAATATGCGTGCGCGGATGAAGCGGTTGGGAGGATATTGTGGCGGACGAGTAAAACATACAGGGCATGCAGGGAAATCGCAAAGGCGTCAACTGCGACGATTTGCGTGGTTAATCGTTCGAGCAGTCGGAGCGATCTTTGGGCGGCAAGTTGTTGCTCCAAAGCATGGCGCTTCTTTCCAATCAACGATGAAAGATTGCGCTTAGCCGTAGAAGCAATGAATGTGCGGATCCGGTCTATATGGCCCAGATGCGTCGAGCAAATGTGTGAAAGATACCAGTACATCCCAGGGAGCTCTTCTGGCGAGTATATCGAGAGCTCGAATCCGAGTTGGATTATCGATCGAAATTGGCATAGCTTTTGATGGTATGTCCAGCTGCTAAGAGGATATGAATAGGTTGTATCGCCGTTGGGTAGGGGTAGTGGTGGTTCTCGACTTAGTGTGCGCAGTTGCTCATCGAGGTCTTCGGCCTATAAACTGGTTAGAAACGTTGCTTTATGAGGAATTGGCGAATAAAATACCTCCATCTGCAGCTGATCCCAGTCAACTACAGTATGGCACAGTGTGCGACGAACGCGACATCGGTTGAGAGAGGCACATCGATACGTATCGACAAATGGCTGCAAATAGTGAGCCAAATGCCAAAGGGTCCATATGTCAAGAAACTCACTTGTCCAAATCGCTTAACAAAACCATCCATATGCTTAGCAATTTGGAATCGTGGATCAGAAGGCATCTCTGTTTCATCTGTGTTCGATTGAAGCAGCACACTGGATGGAAAGACAAGCTCCGTCAGGTCACTGTACAGGAAGTCTTTAACCGGAATAGACCCAAGGATGTTCGTGTTATTGACAAGGAGGGCCTGAGTGAATGCTCGAATATAGACAGACGGCTGGGGCTTTCTAGACAGCAAGGTCCAGATAGTAACTCTGAGATTGTGAGGCCCACGATAGTCAAGAACCTCTCTGAGATCAATAGCATCCTGACACAAGCGTTTCAGATGCGCCAGCGCATCCTCGAAGCTGATCCTCACAATGGGCCGGGGAGGGACCGTGCTAGCCAGTTTCCGTTGAATCTTTTCGCTAAAAGCTTCAGGTATCCGCTTTCCCAGTGAACCAGATTCTGACAACGAGGACACATGCGGCAAGCAAGTTGTAAAGTGCTCCGTCGATTTTGTCTTAATATCCTCATCTTCATCCAGTGCATGGAGCAAACTGCGTCGAAGAGATAACCTGGATTTGATAGCATCTCGCAATTTACCATCAATCGTATCCTCCTGCTCGTCAATCCACGAAATCGCCTGGTCGATCAACTTCACGAAGTGCGCCATGTCAAACTGGGACAAGAGTGTGCGATTGTAGAGTTGGGTCACGAAGTCTTCCTCCTAGGCACGGTTAGTAAATATGTATCTTGACGCAGCAATATGCGACTTGCCTCATAGTAATATTCATGGGAAATGCGGTCATGAACAAAGTCACAAGCCTTGACCAAGGCCAGACAGTATGCGCGCAGAACAACATGTAATAATGGCGATCCTTCCTTTTCGCTATTCGTGTTCGCGCGGTCGAATCGAGCTTCCTCGACAGTCTTCGGTACCGGCCATAATAACTTGTCGAGGTATAGCGATGTAAAGAGTGTTTGAGAGAGCGGGTGTCCCATGTGCCATGCCATCTGCCCATCACCACATTCATAATTCAGCGAGAGCCCTATGTGACAAAGGTCCCAGTAAATCGAGCTGCACCCACCTCATGGCAAAGCAATTCGTCCATGATACCCAACATTTCCTCCGGCGTCAGTTCTCGTGTGACATCGTAGTCGTCTTCTAAGGCTTGCGCTTGGTTCTCCCCGGGGCCAATGTATCCGCTGTCCATCTTCGAGTCCATAATCTGCGACGAATCCGAATCATTATCAGCTATCGATCGAGGGTCGACTATTGTCCCGCGTCAGCAGGTAAGGATCTAAACGGCGACACACCTCCAATGCACCCACCGCCTCAAACAGCGTAAAGTATTCATCTTTGACGAGTTGACCCGTGCTCAGTTCTGTCAAAAGAAAAAAGCGTCAGCGATCCGCGATCCAGGACGGAGATAATAAAAAGGCTTTACTCGAGGCAGCATTGGTGAACTTGTCAGTGATGTCGCTGCAGACAGTCTGCGAAACGACCCGCGTCGACGAGACGCGGACTTGGTTGTTCGGCAGCATGGGACAAGCACGGCAATGTTTTTCAATCTGCCGCCTAATTGATATGGAATAAAAAGTGTTTTCGAAAAGATATGGAGACGAAAACGAGGAGGCCGAACGAGGGGAGGCGGGGAGTTGGGCGGAACAAGAACCTCCCGCCCGCCGCAGAAAGTGTCATACGGCGGGTACAGTAAGATATGCATATCCAAAGACTACGGCAATCGTTTGGTTTTACTCGGAAGCAATTGAGTTATGGCAAAATAATTCAATTCTCTATTTCTGCCACACAATCGGACCAATATTGCTACAGAGTATCCGCTCCTTCACTCGGATAAACCCTCCACTGTGCGACACCATCCTTCCGCCCATAACCATGCTTTTATATCATCGTATCAACTTCGCGGCGGGGGGAATCGTTTATTTCTCGGCCTGAGCAGCCATGGCGGCCTGGTTATTCTGGGCGAGCGACTTGGCCTCACCCTGCTTGCCGTTCTGTTACCGAAAAGAGAAAATCCGTCAGCCAAAACTCAATCAACTCGTACCAGCGCAAAGGGTAGAACGAACCTCCCACTTGGCGAACTTCAGGTCCATCTGGCCACGACGCTCAGCGGCGGCACGGGGCTCCTCCTTGAGAGAGCGGCGGACCGTACGGGCAGCGACGGCCATGTAGCGGTTGTAGCTATTCCAAGAGAGCGTCAGTCATGGGTCGAAGCGGCATTGTCGGGGAAAGGAAAGGCATACGTCAGACCAGCGGCTTTCCAGAAGGACATCTTGACGGTGAATTGAGGAATGCGGAGGTTCGATTTGGAGACAGAGGGGAGTCAAACGGTCGTCGGGACTGTGAGTGTTGAAGCTTTGGAGCGGCGCGGGTTCGGAGGATCGGGACGATGGTCATGTGATCCACGTGATCAGACGAGATTCCCCGACGACATGAGCGACATCGCAGTCGCATTTCTGCGCTTGATTCGGTTGATTTATTATTATTGCCATGGCATAGTCCAAAGGATTTGCTCGTGCTTGCTCTGGTACATTTATTCTCCTAATGATGGAGTTCCGAGTGGTCACCTCTCAGATTTTCTCCGCGGGGGAATCCCATCACAGGACCTATACAGAGAACTCTGAAATGTATTTGAACACCTACGACTAACCGCTATTTCGACTGGGTGCAATCATGAATAGCACGATACGACTAATAGCTGATACTGGGGCAGACATGGAACCGGGCTTGCTGGCAAAGATGGGAATTTTCGTGTCCTGAATTAAGGTCCTCATCCTCGCCAATGAAGCGACTGTTATATCCATTGACACCAAAGCGCCATCGCTTCTATTCGCATCATCAACTGTCCTATGTACTTGCTTCAACATGAAATATGGATAGACGCTCCTCGCGTCTTGTGTTTGTCATCTTCGCTTTTCCAGATGCAAACTGATCTAACATTTTCTCAAATATCAAACGAACCAAGCAAACACGATGATGATTCACTGGACAGGTTGCCCCGTAACCATAGGAAGCCTGAAGACATGAAGTCGACTTTATTTTCTCACTGCTCATTATTTCCTTCTTTTGACGTTTCATCACTGTGTGACGCAACATTGCTAAACCCTGGGTCGGCGGTCAACATCAAGGTATCATTATCACCAAAACAAGAGTCATTCGAAGTACACACGTTTTGTTGCTTGAATTGCAAGAGATTCGTCATTTTCTTGTTGGAGTCACTTGCAAGCGTTTCGCATCTGGCATTTGCGAATACAGAAACGACAACAAAACACATTGTCCAATGGCATACTTCCAGAATGGTTGACTACGGGTACGACAGAATGATTCATTCTCAAGGCGCAAGTCATTACAGGGAGGAAATGACCATATATCAGTCGGTGGAGGATGCAGATATCAAACACGCTTTCGAATCAAATCTCAATCAAGATATTCAAAGCACAATTACGCCGAGCAATCAGTTTACCCCTGACGAGATATCTTTCCGCTCTAATTCCTTGGAGTCGTATTATGCGTCACCATATTCATCTATACCTGAATCTCCTGCAAGCGTCGGCTCACCCATATATGAGTGCGGGATAGCATGCATCTCCCAGGACTACCTACCGCCCTTTGATGCTTTCATTTCAAGATCAGATAGTCCAGCTGGTGAGACCATTTGTCTGGAACCTTCTCGGGGTTGCTATTCGCCCCACGTTCAAGAGATTGACGAGTTCTTGGATCTTTCGGAAACAAGCGATATGTCTACAAATTGCATATCTACGGAGGGTGTTCCTGGTCTCTGCGTTGAAGATGCATCGTTCACATTGGCTTCGTACGTACCGGTGCAGGCCCGTCCTCTTATTTCATATACGGAACATCAACGAGCAATCTACCCGGAATACGTTCAGTACTCGCACGAGCCAATTCAATTCGATATAAATGAGACAGCTGGGCCGGTGAATTCGGATTTTGCCTGTGAGCAGAGAGATAACAGTGTCTGCCATGATCTTATAGATGCGGATGAACTTTACATGTCTTTGGAGGCTCTGGATGAGAGCAATTATTTCCATTATCCATAAGCCATAGTTACTCATTAATTTGCTAAGCAATATCAATCATCATAAACGATTTCTTACTCTAAAAAGTTGTAAATGTATTGACTTGCCCGTTCCGACCATCCGAGGGTATTCCCTCGGGAACGAGTCACGTGAGCTTCTAGGCGGTTCTGCCGCCAAGCATCCGGGGATCGAGAAACGCCTGGAAAAATTTCGAGACTTTGGCTTCATCTTCTCCTCTTTCGTCTTTTCTCTCTTTCTCTTCGTCACCTCCTTTCCTCTTTTTCCTCTTTCTTTCCCCTTCTCTCTCCAGACCTATTGCTGTTCTGGGAGTTCTAGCTTGGGTTAATTGATTTATCCTTATTTATTCCTAATTTCGTCTACCCCCACCTCCCCCTTCCAAGATGCAGATGCAGCGTGCTTTCTCTGCCCGTCTCTCTGCCGCTGCAAAGCGTGCTCCCATTGCCAGATCTTCGGGTTTCAACCTCCAGCAGCAAAGATTTGCTCACAAGGTACGTTTTTTCGAGAAATTGGCGGTTCAATTGATGGCGCACAATTGTGCCATATTCGTGTTCCGCAGCTCCCGAAGCTTCCTGTGGTGACCTCGCTAACGTCGCTTGTGCTCTCTAGGAACTCAAGTTCGGTGTTGAAGCTCGTGCTCAGCTCCTCAAGGGTATCGACACTCTTGCCAAGGCTGTCACTTCGACTCTTGGTCCTAAGGGTCGCAATGTCCTGATTGAGTCGCCCTACGGCTCGCCCAAGATCACCAAGGGTATGCTATCCGTCCATAAATCCTCGAGGAATGACTTTGTTCTTTAAAAAAGGGGCCCAAACTGACGTCAATAGATGGTGTGACTGTTGCCAAGGCCATCCAGCTCCAGGACAAGTACGAGAACCTTGGTGCTCGTCTCCTCCAGGATGTCGCTTCCAAGACCAACGAACTCGCTGGTGACGGTACCACCACCGCCACCGTCCTTGCTCGTGCCATCTTCTCCGAGACCGTCAAGAACGTTGCCGCTGGCTGCAACCCCATGGACCTGCGCCGCGGTATCCAGGCTGCTGTTGACGCCGTCGTCGTCTACCTCCAGCAGAACAAGCGTGACATCACCACCGGCGAGGAGATTGCTCAGGTCGCTACCATTTCCGCCAACGGTGACACCCAGATCGGCAAGCTGATCTCCACCGCTATGGAGAAGGTTGGCAAGGAGGGTGTCATCACCGTCAAGGAGGGCAAGACTCTTGAGGACGAGCTTGAGGTCACTGAGGGTATGCGCTTCGACCGTGGATACACCTCGCCCTACTTCATCACCGACGCCAAGTCCCAGAAGGTCGAGTTCGAGAAGCCCCTCATCTTGCTCTCTGAGAAGAAGATCTCCGCTGTCCAGGACATCATCCCCGCCCTCGAGGCCTCCACCACCCTCCGCCGTCCCCTCGTCATCATTGCTGAGGACATTGAGGGTGAGGCTCTCGCTGTCTGCATCCTGAACAAGCTCCGTGGTCAGCTCCAGGTTGCTGCCGTCAAGGCCCCTGGCTTCGGTGACAACCGCAAGAGCGTCCTTGGTGACCTTGGTGTCCTCACCAACGGTACCGTCTTCACTGACGAGCTTGACCTCAAGCTCGAGAAGCTCACCCCTGACATGCTCGGTTCCACCGGTTCCATCGCCATCACCAAGGAGGACACCATCATCCTGAACGGTGAGGGTAGCAAGGACAGCCTTGCTCAGCGCTGCGAGCAGATCCGTGGTGTCATGGCTGACCCCACCACCTCTGAGTACGAGAAGGAGAAGCTCCAGGAGCGTCTCGCTAAGCTCTCTGGTGGTGTTGCCGTCATCAAGGTTGGTGGCTCCTCCGAGGTCGAGGTCGGTGAGAAGAAGGACCGCGTTGTTGACGCCCTGAACGCTACTCGCGCTGCCGTCGAGGGTGGTATCCTCCCCGGTGGTGGTACTGCCCTCCTCAAGGCCTCCGCCAACGGCCTTGAGAAGGTCAACACTGCCAACTTCGACCAGCAGCTCGGTGTTAGCATCATCAAGAACGCCATCACCCGCCCCGCTCGCACCATTGTCGAGAATGCCGGTCTGGAGGGTAGCGTTATTGTCGGCAAGCTCACCGACGACTACGCCAAGGACTTCAACCGTGGCTTCGACAGCTCCAAGGGCGAGTACGTCGACCTCATCGCTGCCGGTATCGTCGACCCTCTCAAGGTCGTCCGCACTGCTCTCGTTGACGCCAGCGGTGTTGCCTCTCTGCTTGGTACCACCGAGGTCGCTATCGTTGAGGCCCCTGAGGAGAAGGGCCCTGCTGCCCCTGCCGGTGGCATGGGCGGTATGGGCGGTATGGGTGGCATGGGCGGCGGCATGTTCTAAGCTCGCCCAGGTCATCTATAGCCTAACTTCCTTTCTCCCCGGGCCTTTTCGTTTTCCGAGCGTCTCTTGCATACTTTGAGCATGTGTTTGAGTATTTATATTTATGTTATTTTCCTTTTGTGTATTAATGTCTTAAACGTATACCTTTTGTGACGTTTCTCTCCGATTTGACGCATTTCCTTTTTTTTTTTTTTCCTTCATGTCATCTCCACTCTGCAATGTTGGGTACGAAAAAGAAAAGTCTCAGGGAGTCCTGTGTATCATATCATGTACTTTATGTGCGCCGCGGTCTGGGTCTGGCTGCGGTGTTTTGAGTTTCTTTTAAAAATTAATGTTCATGGGCATGACGACTTTCAACTGGACTTGGTAACACTACTGTAGCCGTAGCTAATATTAGCCAAGTAACGTACTTCATAGAGTTCGCAGTATATGAGTTTATGCTACGGAGTCCTTAGGCTGCAATTGTCTTTACTTTGCTTGGCTTGTGGGGTTTCCCATGGCTGTAATCGCATACTGGTATTGAGTAACAGAACATACAAAGTAGAACGTATCAATAACCTGGTCGACACCGGGCCCCAGCCAACATGGGCATCGAATGTAAAAAAGTACAGAGAAAAAATGTGAAAAGAGAAAAAGTATAGAGTACAGAGAGGAGATTTCAAGATATATGTGCATCGTTTTCAGATTTGCCAAAATGCTTTTGAATGAAAACAAAACAAGACAGCCACTTTGTCTTCTCGGGTGGGAATGGAAATCTATAAAATTCAAGAAAAGGGAAAGGAGATGCGATATCATCAAACATTAAACCAATATAATGAGATGAGGTGAGTGGATCCAAAAAAGTCTAACAGTCACACGCCGGCTTTGCAAGATATGAAACAAAAACAAAAAATGAGGTAAGAAAATTGAAGTAGGAGATGCAGAGGATGATAGCAATGCTTGGTGAGTGTACGTATTCACAGGTATATGTAGTGAGAATGTCAAGCAAAATCGGCGTCATGGGAGGTAGAAGTGAAGGTTAGGTCTGAGGACAGCGTGGAGCGAGAGGTATCTATTATGCAGAATCAGAATCAGACTCTGGTAAGCTAGCATGATGCCGCTCATTCACACCTCGAGCCATCTTCTTCCCGAGCTCATATGTCGAGATCATAATAGCACATGCCGGGGCTACTTTCAAACACCGCGCAACCCAGCCCCGGAAAAGTCCTGCCGTACCCTCTTCGCGGAAGATGTGCATCAGGAACTTTGGTAACGAGAGTTGTTCGGGTCGAAGGTTTGCTATTGCACTACCTCCAGATACTGCTGAGGGTGGTGATGCGTCCCCCATGTGCCGGAATACTTGCTGTCGGGTCTTCCCCACATCGAATGGGGTCGTGACGAACGCGGCGAGAGAGCCGGATGTTGCGCCTGCGATAAAGCTTTCAATGAATGTGGGTGCGTCTGGCTCCAGTGGCTGTTGTTGTGCGGCAGGCAAGATATGTTGCCCTTGGGCCCTCTTGCGGGCGTCCATGAGGAAAGTCTTCACTTCTTCATAACCCCACCAATATAAACCAGAAAATGGTACGTCGCGCCACATTGTCAGAGTTAATCCTCGCCAGAGTGAGCTATACCCTCTAACCTGGGTCATATGGTATAGATCCTCGAGGGTTTCCTTGAAATGCCCCGTTCCGGAACCGGAGCCGGAGGTGGCCTGCAGTCGCGTCCGAAACATCTCAATGGGACTGATGGCCGACGCTGCCGCAATTCTTGCAGTAGTGCCTGCGACAAACGGGGCATATGTATCGGGGAAGGATCGTTTGATGGGACTGCGATCGTCCGATCGTAGCCAGTCGTACCCGGCAAAGTAGATGATATTTGCCGGGATCCCCATCATCAGGGTCGGACTGAGGCCGCGCCAAAGCGTCAATGTCCCTTCATTTCGAGCAATTTTCCGTAATCCATCCAGTGTCGATGTAAATGTCCTCCTCCGGGTCTCTTCGACTGCACAGTCTATCTCAGCCGGGGGTGCGTTCCCCAGGGTTCCCGCACCCGGCCCGGCTATGCATATCTCGGCATTCTGGCCGATCCAAAACACTTCTCGACAGCATGCTGTAACTCCCAGGTTAGGAGGCGCATTCTTCAAATTCTGTATTGAGTGGGAGGTGTAGGGAGAGGTCTTGTTGGTTTTGTTCGTAGGGTATTGGGATTGTAGGCGAACGCGGACGACATCGAGAGGAGTTACTGCAGTCGCAAACACATTAGCTTCTCGTACGTAGATAAGAGAATCGCGAATAAATCTAGTCTTCCTAATCTCTAGGAAACCAGTGCAGCCAGTCACTCACCTAGTACAGACGTCAGGATGCTTCCAAGGGTCGCAGACACCATGCGCTGCGAGACTGAGACGTCCTCTGAGATTTGGTTGACAGCCTGAGGGGCAGGAGTAGCTCCCGTTCCATTTGTAGCCGCCATTGTGAAAGTATTTTCAGGAAAGTAGCATGACTCTCTGTGTCTTATAGAGTTGTCTTATCTGCCTGTCGGCCGTTTGCCTTCGAGAGCGGTATCGGTCCCCACGCGTAAGATCAGACCCAGCACCGGACGTTGATTCGGAGTCTTCCCCTTTTCTCACTGCAAACACGTCGGCTATGCGAGACGAGACTGAGTCAGTGATTGACTCTGGAATTGATATCAAACTGAGTAACTGAGAGTCTCTCTAGTCTCTACTCTCCGATGCGTCACTGGCAAAATGCGAGAAAAGTCGGCGGGTGGCGCTGTTCCAAACATGGTTTAGCGCCGGAGATAAGCACCGTCTCCTCCCGATCGGAGATTCTTCTTTACAACAACAACTTGCATCGAGACAATCTTACTACTAGTCGCGGACAGTCAATGGAGACACAATGGCTCTATGCTTGTGACGATTGATATTAAATATATACTAAAATTGTTGTTTGACCTGCAGTCCTGGAGCTGATCGCGATCCGGAGAAAACCCCGCCAGCTTATCAATCTAAAGCGCCGGTCTATCAAAATCATGGCGGACAACGCAGAACTCGAGTCGTTTCGACGCCAGTGGCGCGAAGAGGTTGCGCAGAGGACGAGGCCTGCCAGGTCAGGCCCCCCTAAACCCGGAGCACCTGCGCCAACATCGACAACGACAGCCCGATTGGGTCAATTTCCCCCCACTCGCCACGAAGCATCGGAGCGCAAGGATGAAGACGAGGATGATGGGATCCTGGCTCCTCCGGCGGAACAGGAGGAGATTGTGCAGCAAATTGGGCATATGAGTCTGGCTGACGAGGATGCGTTTCATCCTCGAGTTCCAGAGAAAGAGCCCAGTTCGGCTCTGGAGCATTTCGAAAAAGCGGTGCAAAAGGAGGAGGAGGGTAGCTTGGGAGACAGTCTGCAACTCTACCGCAAGGCCTACCGGGTAGGATAATATTGTTTGATTACGACTGCTTGTTGATAATACTAACCATGCTTGCTGTACAGTTAGACTCGACTGTCGATAAATCTTACCGCGACAAGCATTTTGCCTGGGCATGGAAGAAACCCACACAGCCTCCTGGTCCCAATGCTCCAACTGCTAGTACTACAACAGTGAAACAAGACGAAGAGAAATCCGATATTCTACCAACGCCCGACCTCATCGCATCCTTTGCGCATTTACCCATCCCGCCGGCCGAACCTGAAATCGAAAACACACCTCCGCCCCCGTGCCCTATTGCCAAAGTCCCGTCTGAAGTTATTGTTGAGATTCTGAAGCATGTGGCTTTGATGGACCCGGCAGCTTTTGGTCGGATATCGTTCGTGTGTAAACGTCTGGCATACCATTTCGCACATGACCAACACATCTGGAGACGGCTTTGCCAGGGATCAGAGTTCGGGTTTAAATCGATGCACTATTCGTTTGCTTGCGACGTGTTTGGTAACCCAGAATACACGCTTGCTCCTCGTTACACTCCATTTCCTTTTGATACACCATTACAGATCCCGAGTCCGTTTGATTCATGGAGCGAAGTCTTCCAAATGCTTCCCCGGATCCGTTTCACAGGGATCTATATCAGCACGGCCAACTATACCCGACCCGGTGGAGCCTCCGCATACCAGAACGTATCGTGGAACAGCCCCATTCACATCATAACCTACTACCGATACCTACGATTCTACCCAGATGGAACTGTTCTTTCGCTGCTGAGCACCACGCCGCCGCTAGATGTGGTTCCATACATAAACAAGGAAAATGTGATGATGGCACGAGGAACTTCTCATCGACAGCAGCAACAGCAACAAAAGCCATCGGACTCCGGTCATAAAACCGCCGGATCATCCGATTATGTTCCTCCTGTAGCAATGGCAGCGTTGAAATACACCCACCGGGGCCGGTGGCACCTGGTCAAACCGACTACGCTACCAGACCCACCAAACCCGAACGCCAGGCCCGAGCTGGCACCAGACCCATCGTTACTAGGTAAAACCCCGGAAGGCGTCGAAAATGATTCTCGAGACATCATCATTGAAACCGAAGGAGTTGGTCCGAAGTACATCTACACGCTCCATTTGGCCTTGCGGTCATCTTCTGGTGGAACCAAGCCTGCGAACTCCAATGTTTCACCACCCAACCCGGCCAAGAATACGAAGCTGGCTTGGAAGGGGTATTGGAGTTATAATAACCTCACGGATGACTGGGCTGAGTTTGGGCTGCGGAATGACCGGGCATTTGTGTTCCGGCGTGTTCGGGGGTGGGGTATGAATTGATACGACTTACGATACTAGATACTGATGATCTTGTCAGTTATAAAATTATTGGGAATAGACATGTGAATAGTGTATAGGCCATGATTTGTCAAATAGGAACGGCAGATATATTTGTAAAGAGGCAAATCGTCAATCATCATCATCAGGATGACGAGGCACCTTCTCACAACATAGCACCTTGACACCGGTCCAGCAAGTCTTGCCATCCCCTGTACGATCAACTCCCGTAACCTGCTCTCCAGGGCAATATTCACCCCTGCAGAATGGCGATTTTCCTCCCCAGTAACAGTCGTCGAAGAGTCCATCTGCATAATAACTGAGAGCAGAGTTATGGTCATTGGTTTCTGAGAAGGATTGGTCGTTGGCTGTCTTGTTTTTCTAGTACTCCGTACTCTCAAGTACTTTGATTTGGGGTTCATTCAACCGGGATGCTGTTCATGACTACTGCCATGCCCATACTGGACAGCATCAAGGCTTGAAGAAGGTTGGTTGCATTTTGGAAAGAGGTTTAAGTGGGAGGTGGCGAGAGGTTCTTCAGTCTGTCATTGACCTGAGTCATCTGACCGTGGAACATCTGGAGTAGCACTGTGGAGTGCGCACACAGCGCATCCATACTGGACTCAAGAGCTTAATGCTCAGCTGAGCCGATCGTTACTTGCTTGGACTGAAATGGCAGTTACATAATATTCTGATAAGCTGTTCTCAGCTACAGTGGAGCCGAAGTTTCACTGAAGTACGCAACCCTATTATTATAGCACTGGAGGAAGGAGTATAGGGCAGAGTAGGGAGGGTTATTGACATATGGGAAGAGATACAACAACGGAATAGAGCCACGATATGCGTTACTGAAATCCTTCCAAGTCCTGCTATCGTTCATCTCGGAGAACCAAGATGGGCTGAGCTGTGGAGGCGAAGATCAGCCAACCACCTCCACCGTAGTGCAGATCAGCAGGACTAATCCAGCTGAACATGAACCTGAAGGACACAGAAACTGTCGGGGTTGTTGTCACGCCCCAGAGAATTGTTATTTATAAGAACACTACTCCCTACACATAACTCACAGACTCCATTCTGTAACCACTTCAAACCCCTGTCCAAAATGAAGGCCTCTACAGCTCTCCTCTCAGCCCTCGTTCCCCTCGCAACCGCCTCTGCCGTTTTCAGAAACAATGCAGACGTCCTACGCTCCGCCGAATCCATCCTCCACGGTTTGAACACCAACCACTACTACGACCAAGGGCTGCACACCACCGAAGACGGCCTCAAAACCATAGCTCAGGTAATCCTCCACAACGAGGTCCACGGCAACATCACTTACGAAGACGGCGTCCTCTGGGCCCGCAAAGATGTGGAGCCCACCATCTGGAATCTCAACCAGGACTGCCGCCGAGACAGCAAGGGCTTCCAGATCTCGGCCTTCGATCCGTTCGATCGTAGCATCTACTGGAAGACAAACTATGACAAGGTCACTCTCGGCGACAATGAATACTACGATGGAGGCAGTCGGTTTTTGATCCGGGTCGCCAACGGCCATAAAGGTGATGATAAGAACAATGGTCAGGCATCTATGGCAGGCATAGACGAGTGCGAGGGCGATGGAAAGAAGCCCGGTCATCTTCCGCCTGGTGGAGAGGGGGATGATGAATGGCAGGTTATGTACATTGCTACCTCGAATTCTGGGTGTGTGTACTTCAATGACGAAGGAATGTCGAGGGTTGGAACTGTTACTGCTTGTCATCCGTTTAAGTTTAAGCAGGTGCATGACTCTGATGTGCCTGTTTGGGAAGATCCAAATGCGCATTGCCCGTCTGTCTGAATGGCTGTTTAATGACTTGAGGCAATGGTGTCTTTTGGTGTAAATTATATGGCCAATATATCTGCCAGTTGGATGATCATGATAGCAATAGCAGTGTCGACTAAATACAAACAAAATCCATTCATCGTTCACTTAATATAGACTCCGTACACCATCCACCATCACATTATAAATCTCCTAAAGCTCATCTCCTACAGCAGAGCACCTTCTTACCCGTCTGGCAAGCTGCACCATCCCCCCTGATATCACGTTCTCTTTCTGCCTCATTACCGTTGCAGCTACCCCCGCAGATCGGGGCTTTTCCTACCCAGCGGCAACCTGGGGGTGCGGCAGCGGCTGTCATGGATTGGGCATTGTCTGTGTTTTATTTCCTCCCTTAGTATCTTTCTTTACTTAGGAATGCTGAATAGCATATACTTGCCATTGTTTGACATGGATTGAGGCATGGCTGCTGCCGTGGCTACGCCGGCCAGCAACAAGGCCCCAAGAAGATTAATCAGTTGCATTTTTGAGGATTTCAGCTTCTTGTGTGAGAATTGTGAGAGGGAAAAGGGAGTCGCTCTGATTGACTTGACCTTGAGGCACTGGGGGGTTTAAGTATTCGAATGCTACGCGTCTTCGTCATACAGTACAGAGTACAGAGTCGAGTCTGATATGTTTCCGTTGTCAGCTGCAGTAAACGTAGCGGATCCCGGAAGCTCATTAGTATTCTGCTCTTCAATATGGCAGAATAATTGATCAACCATGTAGAGAGACAGCTCAGGAAGCCGGGGAATTGACTATATATCTATGCATAACCCTAAGATACTTGTAACGGCTCGAGATTCGCCAATCTTCTCCGTACGAGATCGTACCCAAAAGTCTATAAACGTGACAGCTTGTTATTTAATAATCTTACTAAATAGTCCGTACAGAGTAGTACAATATCACTTGTGGGAGAAAAAAAAAAAAAAAAA